TATTTGAATTGCAGTTGTGTTAATTCCCTTGAATTGCTGTCATGTTAATCCCTCCTTCCTCTACCTGGTCTAGTGAATCACTGCAGTTTCGACGTGTGGCTGTTTTTGCCGTGGCTGTTTTTGCCCTGCAGCAGCGTTCTGGATGGAACAAATACATTTGAACTCCCGGGTGCTGCAGTAAAATCCGTGTTTTTAGCGGCAACGCGGGGAACACCGGATTCGCCTGTTGTGCTCCGCGTGGCCCGTGCGGAGCCTCCCTGGCCTCTCTGACAGGATGCGCGGCCGCTGCGGCCACCGGTGCCGCAGAAGGGCCCGCGGGACGGGCGAGGGGAGAGCCTGGTGCCAGCACCGGGGCCAGGGCTGCACGGGGACCTTTTCTCGCACTCGTGTGCGATGCGGCGCCACAGCCCCGCGCTGCTCTGCAAAACACATAAAACATCCCGGTGCCGGGGGGACGGTGACCTTTGCCAGGCACCTTCGCTTTTACGGTGTTTCCGAGTTTGCCGGTGTGTGGAGTGGGCACATCCACGGGCCAGGTCTTAACAACTTCAGCCTTAGGCTGCTGTGCGTGTAAAACACTGACCCTGAGAGCAAGCTGGAACATTGGCTGCATTTTATTATCCTCTGTACTTGTATTTATTTACATAATAGATTTTGGTGGGAAATATGCGTCTCCGGTGAAGCGTCTGCACTAGAAAAACAAAAGCTGAACAGGAGCATGTGGAGAAGGGGCAGCAGGGGCTGCAGGCCGGGCTGCCGGCCGCCTCTGTGCGTGTCCTGCAGCCCTCCTCGTCCCGCGGGATGAGGCTCCTGCTCGGAAGGAGCCCTTCCTCGTGCTGCAGTTGCATTAAGTTTCCCCGCGGCGGGCGGCAGCCAGGCCCGCGAGCGCAGATTTACAGCGCGAGTTTAAGCTAATGGATACTTATCAGGCAGCCTGTGTTTGGTGATCGTCCATCATTTGCTCATTAAACAGTGTATCTAAGTGATTCTCATTTCCTCCCTGCCATGTCTGGAAAGGAGGAAACTAGACACATTACGCTGGAATATTAATGTCCTGGAGGATTTAGCCACCCATAATTAGATCTTCTTTGCATAAACCTGCTTGTGCTACCTTATTTTGCTGTTCCTCTTGCTCTCCTTTATCATCTTCACATCTTTTTCTGTTCCTAACTCTTTCTTGTTGATGTTTTCCTTTGTAATTCAGCCCCGTTTGTCTCATCTGTCTTCGTTTCTTCTTTCTTACTGTCCCCTGACCGGGGAGCCCAGCAGTCTGGGTTTCCCCACTCCTCCTCCTTCGCACAAAAAGGCTGCGTTTGCCAGCAAAAGCCCCACTCGCTGCCAAGCCCGGGGACTGACTTTGGAGAAAAGCAGCTAGAGAACATGTGTGGTTTGACTGTCGGCTAAATAAGCCATGTCAGTAGCCCTCTTGTCTCGTTCCCTGGCCTGCTGGCCCATGAAGGGACTGATATAATGGTCCTATTTAGGTTTGGGGCCAAAGGGACCCCTGGTGCGGGGCCGCCATGTGCCGCCCGTGCCCGGGGAGCCGCGGTGTGGGGAGCCGCATGGGAGGCGGTGGCTGTGCCCTGCGGGGCGGCCTCGTCCCTGCGCGCCTCCCGGGCTCCCCGGGGAGCGGCGCCTTGTGCCGATGCGGAGCAGAGCGGCACAAACAAACAGGTGCTGGTAAACACAGCCAGGCGGGCAGCAGCGCCGCTGCAAGGGCCCTTCCCAGAGCCAGTGAGCGGGACTGGGGTCCTGGCCCCTTCCTTTGGGTGCTGCCCCGACGGCTGACGCAGAGGAAGCGGTAGGTCTCTACACCGCAGCCTGGGAAGAGGGCCACGCAACTGCCGTGTTTTCCTGTTGAAGCAGGAAATCTGCCCCTGGAAGGAGGCCGCGGTGCTGGGGCAGGGAGACGTGGGCAGTTCCTGCAGGCTGAGCAGCCTGGGGAGGCAGGTCCTGGGGAGGCCTCCTGCAGCCTTCCCTATGTGTCCGGGCAGCAGCCTCAGCTCGCAGCCCTTCCTCATGAACTAAACAAACATAGGAATGAGATCAACTTTTTATTTTTTCTGCAGCTACTTTCCTTCTTGCAGATGCTTTATAGGTTTTTGTGTTTGGCAGATTTTTATCTCACAGATATTATCAGGTGGAGAATCTTACAGGAACATCTAAGCAGGAGACGGGGAAAGCTTTAAGACTGCCCTGGAGATAGCCTGTTCAGCTGGCTTCTGCACCCAAGTAGCCGTCTCCAGACTTTGCTTTCCTAGCTGTGGTTGCAGGTCCTGGCCCAGTGCTGGGCTGGGCGTCCCCTCCTCTGCAGGAGCTGGTGGAGGAGGAGGTGTCGCTCCCTGTGCTCCCGCCGCTGTTGGCTTCAGCGTCAGCCCCCTGGGACGGAGCTGCCTACCAGCCCTCTCCGAATAACAGGCTGCAGTTGTGCATGGTAAATACGGGGCTATTTAAGCTGTGAAGGTTGTTAACATCCTTTGTGCTCCTGCAATGCCCAGCGGCTGGAAACTGCCCGGTTTGCAGTGCGGGCTCTGCACAGTTTGGAGCGCCCTCGGCTCCCGCTGGCCTCGTGGCAATGGGGAGTGCCGCGCGGTGGGGCAAGCGGGGTGTGTGGGGCGCCCGTGCTCAGGGCTGCGGGAGCTCCCGGAGGCTGCGCACCAGGATGCCCAGAGCCGGGGCAGGGAGGAGGCGCCTCTATCCTGTGAGCGGCTCGGGGTGCCGGCGTGTTTCTCCGGAGGGAAGGCTGTGAATCTTGGCACCTTTGTTACAGGATAATAACACCCAGGAACTGGTGAGGTTGGTGGTGGTTTAGGGAAGAGCATCTGGTGTGAACAAAATCTGACAAGATCCTCCAAAGTACCAAGTGGCACCAGCATTTTCCATGCTCAATGATTCCTTGTTTAGTGTTTCCAGAGATTCTTGGCGGTACCTGCATGGTCCTGATCCCGAGCACAGCTCTGTAAACAGCCCTGTTTTGAGGGAGTCTTCCCCATTGCCTGGGCACTTGAGCAGCCGCTTTATAATCTAGTCTGTCACGGTTCCTGACTTTTTAGTTAGCACACTATGGAGTTTCATATTAGGGCAGGTGCTAAGCTAGTCCTAGTGGTCCTCCAAGCTGAGGTAATAGGATGAGGGAGCCGTGCACGTGTATCTGAATTACTATGGGGCTGCTGCTCACTGCAAGCTTGTTTGCCTCTGGAAATCAGTGCTGGGTTGGGAAGCACCTTGCTTGGGTAGGGTAACTTTTTCCCTGGGAGCGTATTGGTGTTAAGCCAGCGTCGAGCTACAAGTGGAGCTCAGGTGACTATAGTCCCAGGGCCGCGCGGGAGCCGAATCCTTGCCAGAGTTTCCCTGAGCACCAAGAACCAAAATTGTGGAGCCTGCAGCACTAGCGACCTAGCAATTAGACACATCCTTGGAGAACATCTGAGGTGAGAGCCGCTGGTGGCCGGTTGTGGTTTGTGTCTTTCCTTTTGGCTACGGCTGAGTTTGAGGCTGAGATGGGTTTTCAGCAGAGTGGTGGTTTTGGACTCGCTCTCTAAGAGAAAGCGTAAGGAAAAGCCCAGTCCAAAAATAGTAACCTAAGAAAAATCTAAGCAAGCCAACTGAAAGTTGATCAAAGATGAAATTAAATTAAAGCGTTTCACTTCTCCATTTGAGCAAGGTCCATGAAGCGTTAACTAAGCTCAAAGGGTTTTGGAGAAAAACAAAATTCCAGAATGTATTTGAATGTTAAAATTTTAAATTTTAGTGTTAAAACGAGATATACTTGTGTAAGGGTGCTGTTATGCTAAGGATAACTATGCCTGGAATGTTTCTATTGAGAGGTGGCTAGAGGTGGAGCAAGGCCCGCGGCGCTGGTGCTGCCCTGGGCGCAGGGACGTGCAGCGGGACCGGCGCCTCGCCGGGAGAGCCAAGGGCAGCCCCCCCAGACACAACCCAGGTGAATCCTCCTCTCGGCCACGGGTGTCCCAGTGATGCCACCCCGGACTGGTGTCCCCCACGTGGGCGAGATCAAAGGACAGCAGAGTTCCTTGTGGGGTGAAAAGAGGGGGAAAAGCACGGAATCCAGCTGCATTGACATGAAAGGGCTGGAGACTGTCAGTGTGCAGAATCCTGGCTTTTCTTTAGGAAATACAGACCCATTATTTGCATGCTTTGGGTGCCATGGTGATGGAGTAGGAGGATGATGCTGACAAACTTTTTATGATCCTGAGGAAGGACAGCAAGATTTCTGCAGCCGCGGCTTTCCAGGCACATGGTCTGGCTGCAGCGCCAGGCTCTGCTGTAGACAGTTTATTGTCAGTTCATCTTGTGGCTATTTCCAAGAGTGTGTCAAGAAGCGGGTAAAATTCTGTAGTTCATAACAGGCAGAACACTGTGTGTGTGTGTGTTTGTGTGTGTCATCTGCAAGCACTGGGCACCTGGCTCTGACAGCTTCCACATCGGCCGCCTAAGTACCGTTATTTACGACTGCCACATTACTGAGCATGGTTGTACATCATAATAATTATTTTGGAGTCCAAGATCTGGATTTTTTTTTTCAATTCTTAATGCTATTAACAAGTCACTATGTTGGTATGACATAAGTCAGGCAATTTTTCCTTCATAGGACAGTTCTTTAATCCAGTAAAGGATTGATTTCAAAAACAAACTCTGCGTTGTAAATGCAAAATTCCCATTGTAATGTGTGGGAACGTAGAACATTTTAAATGTGTATGCATAGCATGCAGTGATAATTAAATCTCTATTAAATTTTCATAAGAATTTACTCTTACCTGTTCTTATAGCAGCTGCAGGCAGAAATTCCATATTTAGTAAGGATTTTTCCCTACATTTTTAACTAAATTTCTACCTTATGAATTATTTTACAGAAGGCACTTTATTCTTTTTTGCTCTACAGAAGTCTGTTATAATGCTTTAATGTCATAATAGATGTAGTTTTTTGCTTTCCAGATGTTTATTTTGTAAATCACAACTTATTTTTTGTTCTTTTTCAGTTGAGGAGGGCGAATCATCAGATTTTGCTTTGAACTGGGACTCATCGGTGACTCAATCAGGTAAATATTTTAGGTTCTTCTGATTGCAAAAACTGCCAGAAAGCTGCCAGGGTTTTTACAGGAACTGTATTTTGTGTGTCACATTCCTGTCTCCAGTCCAAGACTACCCACTGCAACACAATTTTTATATCAGTTCCATATGGTCAATAAAATCTATTACATACAGAGACTAATATACTCTTATCCTCTGGAGGGCCGTTCTTCCTTCTTGTGGGCACACTGAAGCGGGTTGTGATTTCTGCAGTGTAACTGCTTTGAAGTTTTCTGCAATGGGCACTGTTGCACATTCATTCCAGTCTAATTGCATAAAAGCGACTTTAATAGGGATCTTAAACTTCAGCCTCGGTTGCAGGGTGTGTGTTGCTCGATGGAAGCGGGGCCGCGCTGTCGAGGCTGGGCAATGGAAGCAGTGCCTCGGCGCCGCAGCGGCGTTTGCCGTTTGAACCAGTTCTTGGCTGTCGACAGCATGGACTCTAACGCGCGCCCTGGACTTGCTCATCTGTGGTACATTGAGCCTCAGTGAAAAGAGGCTCAGGAGAGTGAACACGGCAAAGCAAGTTTGTGTTAGATGTCTTGATAACACAATTGTTAGGGTAAGGCTACATCTAACAGTACGGCAAGTCACCAACCGCCTCTAATTTACCATTTGTGCTGTGTGTGATGGTATTTAGCTGCATTTTTTGCCCTGAATGTTTGGGAAGTTCTCAGAATATTTTTGGTTTTGGAGCCTGGGGCCCTTCACATGGGCTCTGTGCTCTCAGCAGCTCGGTGGTGGTGTGGGAACCACGGGATCAAGCAGCAGCCTAGAAATTAGCAGCTCCCCGAGAGGTTGGTGCTTCCCTCTTCTCTGATAGCAAATATCTGCTGCTGTGCATCCCGTTAGACTTAAGGGAGGCCAAGGCTTGAAATGGTGGCTGTGGCAAGTGCAGGAATGTGGGGTTCCTGAATGGTTTGGGGATGATGCTGTGAGACAAGCTTGGGAAAGGGGTCCCCCACATTGGCTGGGTGAGCTGCCCAGGAAAAGCAGAGCCCCGTGTTGCAGAGCGGCCGCGCGCCCCGGCAGCTCCCGCCCGTGAGCAAAGCCAGCCACGCTCCCGGCCTGCGCGCCTTTCATTACGTGCGTTTATGGTCTTCCTGTTTGCATTAGCTCCAGTTGAACTTCAATAAAGGGTGGAAAAACACTCCTCCGCTGCTCGTTCCGGGCCTCCCTGGCCCGGGGTGACAGCCCTGCAGCATTGCCGTCCTGCCTTAACCCTCCCCAGCAAAAAAGGCAAGGGAAAAACAAACAAACACAAAGGCAGAAGGCCCCAAACCGGACTTGCTAACTCTGAAGCTTTTGCCAGATGTTTTGGATTAACATATTTTCCCCCTCCTTGTCCACACGTGTTGGCGCATCAATCTGTGTGCGCACACACACACACAGTGACTCCTGCTCAGCCCCGTCCTCCCCGGCGCTGCAGCACATGCAGCAGCCCCAGCGTGTTGGGGAGCGGCGACAGCAGGTGGATTTTAAGTTTTAAAAGACATATTTTTTTTAATAGTAGCGTAGCAAAATATTTATACTGATGCGATTGTGGAGAGTGAAGGGGCTTTTACTGCTTTAGCTTGTTTTGTTCACAAAGCCAGTGTAAGAAATCCCTTTTGCTGGCGCAAGCGCAGCCTGTGGTGGCAGGGATGCTGCTGCACTAGTGATCACAGCTTTTCCTAGGTCAGGCTCGGCTTGCTCCGTGCTTTCAGGGCAAGGAGTCAGGCAGCAGCCTCCCAGTTCTCTTTCTGTCAGTGAGATTTCTTTCACTCAGTTGTACCGAGGACATAAATAGCTGCCCGGCTCCAGAGCTCTAGTTGTGTTTGCCAAGAAAATGTGTCTAAAAATGAACCAAGGGCTCTGGACATAAAACTGGTAACTTGCCACAAATCCTGGATTACGGAGCGGCGCTTTCAAAGCCGCCTTTTTCCCTTGGAGGCTGCTGGGAGGGCCTTGCCGTGCGTTCGGGCTGCTCCGTGCGCTGGCCTCGTGCGGGGCTCCCTCCGCTCGCCCGGCATCCCTTCGGCTTGCCCGCTTCGGGCAGTGCTCCTGCTCCAGGTGGGCTCCCAAGGGCTGCCCCTGGCTCCAGTGCTCCGCACTAGTGATGCCAGTGCAGGGGACCGGCCCACTTTGCAGGACTTCAGCGCTGAGTGACTCATGCTCAGGAATTTACTCAAAAAGCAGCTGGAAATAGCTTTATGAGATTTATTTTTCCTTTTTTTTTTTTTTTTTTTTTTTTTTTTTTTTGTACTCTCATCTTTAGAGCTGTGTGTATTACCTTGGAGAACCAGGAAAGCACAGGGAGGCAGCGGCTGCCCTGGTGCCGTGGAGAACAATGCCCGTGTGCAGCAGCCGCCTTTAACAAAGGGCATCGCACAAGTTTCCTTCCGCCCCGGCCTTTGTAAGCACTCCTTCCTTACTGTAAACCGAAGGAGAAAAAAAATGCTTTTCCTTTCCCCTACCTAACCCCGGGTTCTCATTTGCTGCCTAGCAGCAGGTGGGTAACGTTGTGGTGCTAAAGAGCGAGGCTCGTTTTGTGCATGGACGCAGAGTGGGTGAGCAGCGGTCCGGGCAGCTCGTGGAGGCCAGCGTGGGGCTGGGGCTGCCCCACTTTGCACGGGGCTTTGGTGCTGCCTCGAAGCCGGGGGCAAGAGAGCAGGGTTTAACGTTTGTGCGGCTCAGCCATGGCTCTTGCAATACATCACAGCAGTATTATCTTGAAGAGCAACTGGGGACGTTCTAAAGAAGTAAAAAGTCTTACTAAATTTAGAGAGAATTTAAGGCATTTTTAAAGACCCATGAAAGCATTTTACGTGGGGGCTGCTAAGGAGCTTCTCATTATCCTGGCTGTGAGGCCCTGGGGAAGTTCAGCTGAGTCGTGTGGGGCAAATGGAGCCCCAAAACCCTTGTCTCCCCTGTCAGCTTTCTGAGGGGAATGGAGGGATCTCCCTTAAGCGAGGTAGCTGCCAGGTAGGGTCTGCACGAGGAAGAGCTGGGGCACATGGGTGGGTAGCAGGAGGTCTCCTTTACTCTGGGTTTTTGGGGAGAAAAGGGCAGCTTCTCACTGTGGCTGCTGGGGCAGGTCTTGCAGGAGGAAGAGCTGTGGTGGGGAGGCACCAGCAGCAGCTGTGGAGGAGCTAACCACAGCTGCTCGCTCTGCCCGCTGCGCAGCTTCGCAGAGCTCTGTGAATCACAACTTTCACTCAGGCCTGCGGAAGAGCCATGGCTTTTGTAGCATCAAATCTCGTTTCCGTTGCAGAAGGAGCCCTAGGTGAGATGGATGGGTTTTGTGAAGTGAGCAGAGATGCAGCCTAGCAAGGGATTGGGCTTTGCCTCTCTTTCCCCTTTTCTATTTATCCAGTTATGATACAGAAAATGTTTTCTCCTGCCTCGCTTTTACCCTTCTGCCGCCGGTAAAGCAGAGAAGCTCAATCTTCCTCCTCATGCTCCCAGGCTTGTCCACCCTGCAGGGTGCCCACTGGCATGAATTGCATCCTTGGGGTGCTTCTGGGGACCCTGTTTCTGGGGTGCTTCTGCCTCGCTTCCCAGGCAGGCTCCAGGGAATGTCTTATTTAACCTTTAAATGGTAGAATGCTAAGAAATCCTCCCAGAATAAAATTTTGTAGCCCACCCTCTGCTGCAGAACGTTGAAAAGGCAGGTCTCAATTCAGCCTGCATCATCTTCCAGGCGCTGTTCATCACCCTTTCTGAGCATCTTTACAAACTTAGGAAATCTTTAAAAGCTGATTTTATTAATAAATCAGTACTAGAAGATTCTGGTTCAAGTGTGCAAGGTTTCCCAAAGACCTAAACCTTTACTAGCAAGGATCATAAGAGACTTTGATAACTTTCCTAGTGGAATATTGTTTCAATATGCTAAGATAGATTTTCTCAGTTGATCTATTTTCTTATGGGGATTTTGAAAACAGCCTCTGTTTCTTCTCTGCATGGACGGTCTGAGAAGTCCTTCCCCAGCGGTCGCAACCGTGCACCAACAGGACCGTGGTGTCGATATGTAGCCACGTAGCTACAACAGAGCCAGGTGCCTCTGATTTCAAACATCTGCCCTGGGCACGGCCAAATAAAAACTGCCTAGAAATAAAGCCACAGAGGCTTCCCAGGTGGATGGTGGCTGCGGCCTGCTGGATGTTGGGCACATGGCTGGACACACAGTTATTTGAAGCAGTTTTCATTTTCCTTGGTAAGACTTTGGGTTTTTGTGATGTGGCATATGAGAAGTATGACGTATTACGGCATTTCCTAGAAAATACTATTACAAACGTTAATTGGGCAAGTTGCCATGTTAGTGCTCAGGAGGAGAATTAATTTCCATGGTAAAACGGGGGAGGAAAGAAAGGCTCGCTTGACGCAAGCGGCCACGTGTTTGCTGGGCTCCTCAGAGGTGTGTTCGATTGCCAGGCAGAGCTGGCCCGGGTGAGCCGAGGGGCTCCCTGCGTCCCGCTGCCGGGAGCAGCCCTCCCTGCTCTTCACCTTTCCGTGGTGCTGCCCAGGCCCAGGCCTGGGGCTGCGTTTGGATGAACATTTTCTGTGAGTTTTTTTTTTTTTTTTTTTTTTTTTTTAAGATGAAAATTATCTCTCTTGTTTATGGTGGTCCACTGGGGCTTAGCCAGCAGTAATGGGCTGAAAGGAAGCAAAGGGGATCCTAGGCGGAATGTCAGGAAACATCTCCTAATAGAGAGAGCTGAGAGGCCGGGCCATTATCTGCCATTACTGAGGTCATCCTCAATCCGGAGCGGGCGACGCACTTGAAAGCTGTAGGGGCGATTGTGCCTGGCAGCGCGACGGATAAGGCGGCCTAATAGGTCTTGCTCATCCCTAATTTACCCGATTCTGCTGGGCTCAGGATTTGCTAAAATCCTGCGGCTTTTAGGCCAGAAGCAGAGTGGATGGGCCAGCAAGTTGTGCTTTCAAGAGGTTATTTCAGTGAGGCGATTTTAGGTAGGACCTCAAAGCG